TACTAGTAAAGTTAGTACCATTATCCCTGACTATTTTTTCATGTATCACTTTTACAGACATATTTAACAGTTATTAAGCTAATTATTTTTATCCATTCTTTAATTGTTGACTCAGTGGTTATGTGTCTCATTCTTCTAATAATAGGGAATTTGCTAAATGCGTCAATACATACAATAAAATTGCTATCTTCAAATTGCGCAAAGTGTATGGACACGCTTTCGAATATTTTTGTTGTTGTTTCCCGTGGGTTTTGTATATTATGAGGCTGCATATTTATTACATGCATCACAATTTTTAACCTCCTAATCTATTTCTGCATATTAACCAGGCCACCACAAATAATCTCTCGCTAATGATTTCGTTTTCCCAGCACCTAGATGCCCTTTATGCATGCAATATATCCTTTCTCATATTTTTCGGTATTATGATCCTATATTCTTTAAAGACAATCTTTAATTAATCTCAGTTCCATTTCCATATTATTATATGTTTTATTCTTTATCTATTAATGATTTTTTATATTGTTATTTACTTCCATTAATTCTATATCAATACTAGTTTCTGTAACTTGTAACTATTCTTTTAAAATTTATTGGTACCTCTCGAAATTTATCATCATTTTTTCACAATCTATCTTTTGTACCATCTCTTCTGTGTTCATTTGTGTTTATCTTGACCAACAATCCGATACTACATTTCGTTTATGAATTATCGCAAAGTCATAAGCTCCCATAGCCAAACTTCATTTTTGGAGTCGCATTGATATTGAAGAATTATCCTTGAGTCCCTTCGTAAATATATAAATGGGTGGCTTGTGATCTGTGATTATTATAATTCTCGTACCAATTAAATATTCTTTAAACTTTTTTAACACGTATATAACAGATAAAGCTTCTCTTTCAATATTTGTATAGTTTAATTCTGATTTTAATAATGCTCTTGACGCCAAAACAATTTTCTCTTTACCATCACCCTCAATATGAAATAAGACTGCGCCTAGACCTTTATTTGAAGCATCAGTTGCAATGCCTACTGGTTGATCCGGGTTATAAAAATTTAACGTAGGCGGAGTACTTATCAGTTTTTTAGGTCATCCATGCTTACTTGATGTGTGCTATCCTAACCACTTGTCTTTATTAACTATTTTGTATAAGGGATCAGCTATGTCCGCAAAATTACATAGAAATTTACGATAACAGCTCGACATCCCCAAAAAAGTTGACAATTCCTCTTTTGTCTTAGGTCCCGGAATGTATCTGCATTCGGATGTATTCCTTTGTCGTCTATATCGTGTTCTAAGAACCGTAGTCTTTTCTTTAAAAATAGGCTTTTTGTATAATTTGGTGTAGACCAATATTTTAATAACTTGTCAAATGCAATTTTTATGTTATTATTATTCATTTTTAAATTTAATTACCATGCCTCTTCCTAAAAATATTTTTAAGGTGCAAAAAAGTATAAGAGATTTCTTTATAAAAAAAAATAAGTAGTAGACATATAGTTTATAATCCTCTATTATATATAATTGGTTATAAAATATTAGGTAAAATGCCACTTTTAAAGACATATTTGACAGTTTTTACTAATAAATGCTTTTGATAATAAATATAAGCAACAATATGCAATTAATTATTTAACGCCATCTATTTAATAAAAATATTATTACAAATAAACATCTTATTATTCATACAATAGATGTAAAAAATTAGATATATTTTCTTCTCTTTTTTTACGCGTTTTTAGGAAATCATTTTTTTCTTCTAAGAAAAACAGTTTTGAGTTAAATTTTTAATATGAGTATATTTTAGATATTATTACAAACTGCTATTATTTTAAGATATAATATACCAACTTGAGATGGTATGTCAATAATATATAAAATTTTAATTGTTTTCATCATATCACTCTGGTTCTTATTTTATGCTTACAAAATGTTTCATTTCTAATATGGCATTGCCGTGTAAATAACTTATGGCTTTAATATATTTGCATAGTTTCTTCTAAAGATTTCTAGTGTTTTTGTCTTAACAATTTATCTAACATAATATATTCTGATATGTGTTAACATCGTGTGCGTCAATGACTGCCAATTAACCAGCATATATTATTTGTGTAGCTATATAAGTTAAGATAATTATTACAGCTGCTAAAAACATATGATTACATATTTTAGATAAGCAATAATGATCAAATGTGTAGTCGTTTATATATCATTAAAAATGGAAGCTTATAGAAATTTAATATCTCACAATAATTCTCTCCATTACTTATCTATTCCATCATGTTATCTAAAATGAGCTCTAACTACTATATAGTTTTTTGATTTGGATTGGTTGTTTATATTCTCTTCTTCAAAATTGTTGATTTGGTTAGGCATATAAATTTTTCCTATAAAATATTGTCTAAAATGGTAACCGAGAGTTATATTAGCTTCATGGCCTTTTGTCAATGTAAGTTGTTAAGAATTATATTATATTATGTGGTTTTTAGAAACCATTATTAATTGAAGCATATGTAAGAACTTAACCTTTTTTATCACTTTAATTCTTTAGACGCATTTTTTTTATACCAGCAATCGAAAATACTTTATATTGTAATAAATAAATGTTGTATTAAAAAATAATTTTTAGAAATGTCTTGTATTGTTTTAATCATTTTTATGCTAGTTTATCTTTTATGCATAATATAATAATGACAAAATATAAAATTCAGAATCTGTTCAGAGTTAGCAAATTTTAAAAAAGTATAATATATTAATATAAAACCCGGCCTAGGCTGGGCAATAGCAGACCGTAGGCCCGCATATTAAAGGGTTTGGGGGCTACGCCCCCAATAAAATTATTTTTTTTAGTTGAGCCACCTGAAATTGTAAAGGCTAGCGACGCCCCTCACACATGCAATAAATAAATTTCCTAGCATAAGCCCTTCCTAACTTTCATTTTATCTAAATCTCTATCACCATCTGAATTAGGGTTTTAGCTTTAAAATTTAGATCATTTAAAATATATAAGATCCTCTATGGCACAAGATCAGCTCATTGTTCTATCCTTAATTTCATTGAAACTGATATCGCTACCTTAGCAAAGATATTATATTATATCACCCATTTCCAAGCAAAAGCGTCCACAATAATTTATAATATACCAACTAGAGGTGATGCGACAATATATAAAATCTTAATTGTTTTATCATATCATTCTGATCCTTTTTTTATAGTTATAAAATATTTCATTTCTAATATAGCATCCTTGCTGTGTAAATAACTCATGGTTTCAATATATTTGCACAATTATTTCTTCCAAAAATTTTTAGAGTATTTTTTTTATCAATTTATCCAACATAATAAATTCCAATACTAGTTTACATCGTGAGTGTCATGGCTATTACGCAAATTAATTAGCATCTATTATTTGTGTTGCTATGTAATTTAAGATTATTACTACAGCTGCTGAGAGCATATGATAGCATATTTTAGATAAACAATAATGGTCAATGTGTAGTCGTTTATATAACATTTAAAATGGAAGATAATCTTTTGGAAATTTAATATCTCACCGATTACTTATCTAGCTTTCATCATGTCAACTAAAAGGAAGCTCTAACCACCATATAGTTTTATGATTTGGATTTGTTGTTTATATTCTCTTCTTCAAGAATTGTTGATTTGGTTTAGGCCTATAAATTTTTCCTTATTAGTCCATTCTATAAATGTATAAAATGGTAGCAGAGAGTTATATTAGTTTGATAACCTTTTGTCAATGTAAGTTGCTAAGAATTATATTTTTGCAATATGTGGTTTTTAAAAACTATTGTCAATTGTGGCATTCATTTGTATTTCTTTAGAAGCAAGTTTTTTTATATCAGGAATCGAAAATATTTTTTACTGTAATAAATAAATTTTGTATTAGAAAAATTATTATTTTTATAAATGTCTTGTATTGTTTTAATTATTTATATGCCAGTTTATTTTGTATGCATAATATAATAAATAACAAATATGAAATTCAGAATAATTGTTCAGTCAGAGTTAATGTTAAACAGTATTAACTTTAAAAAATTGTTTTTTTTTACATCCTTAAGCCATTTATGGCGTAACTTAAAATATTTCAAATGTAATAAGAATTGTTTCTTTCTTTTTGTTAAAAACAACTTTTATATTTTAAATCAATTTGTTTATAAACTAATATTAAACTTTAAATTTTAAAAACAACTTTTATATTTTAAATCAATTTGTTTATAAACTAATATTAAACTTTAAATTTTATAAAAACAACTTTTATATTTTAAATCAATTTGTTTATAAACTAATATTAAATTTTATATTTTATAAATCAATTTACTTAATAAACTAATGTTCAATTTTTTTATTTTTAACTTTTAAAAAAAAGATCAATTTATTATAAATTACATTAAATTAAATTGTCAATATATATAGGAAACTATTTTGAATTATGTGATCATTATATTTTTTTAATTTAAATATCAATAAATTTACGTAATATACGTCTATAACATTTATTTTCTGCCTTTGATTTCTGCAACCTTTTCAGTTAACAAATTTAAAAAAGTATAATATATTAATATAAAAAATTTGGGGCATTGGGGGGGGGGGGGCGAAGCACCTCATAGAACATTTTTTAGTTGAGCCCCCTGAGATTGTAAAGGCAATAATCAACGGTATTAGTAAAATAGCCAGTTATGTGGCAACTCAAGAAGATTTTAATTAAAGATAGTTGTTTTTTTTAGTTGTGTTTTAATTTTCTTGAGAAAAAAATACTGTGATATTTTATTAAAATGAAATTTGCGCACATTAAAATATCTCTAAATATATAGATAAAATAAACGTTTTTCTTGAAAAAATGGAAATAAAACTTGTTGGTTGAAAGCTAATTATAAACCCAAGAAAATTTATAAATTTATTTTTGATATTCAATTGATAAATTATTATTGCCATATTGGGCAAAATTGACAGGACACGTGACTATCAACAGAGTTGCGTTACATTTTCATGATAGATTTATATGATTAAGTAGAATATCGCATATATTTATGGCAGAAAACGATGAACCATTGTTGGTGTTTGGTTATGCCTCTAAAATATATAGGGACGATGAAAAAGCATTATATATTCATAAAGGACATCAGCTAATACCTTGGATGGGAGATAATAATATACTTATTGACAGGTGTGTTTAATTGTTTTATAGTTATGAGAATATTTTGCATTTTATTATCATATCTCTAATCCATTCAGATGGACACCTTCCTTATGCTAAATCTCAGACTGGAAAAATAAATTCATTAGTGGTAAAATATAATTAATGTTAATATATAAAGTCAGGTGCTACATTTTATAATATAATTATTATAAAAATATCATTTATATTATACCATGTTATAATATATATTTTTAATATATTAACAGATATGATTGCAGAGGTTATCTTCCTGAAATAAATGTTTTTAAAAATGATTGGCAATATAATGGGGAAGAAGCACACATTGAAAAACTTTGTGAAGAAGAAAGATATTTAGCTCTTTTTAAAAATATATCTCAAGAAGAGGAACATCACACAGGTATGCTTTTTTTTGTTATTTTGTTCACTAAGCCTAGCATTTATTTAAAGAAAAATAATTTTGAACATATTTTTTTTATATCTTAATAAAAATATATAATATTATTTTTTAATAAACAGAAGAACTTAAACGATTGCACCAGGAAATTGCTTTAGATGAATCCAAATATAGTCAAATAAATTTTAAATATGAAGATGGTAGCAATAAGGTAGTTTCGAATAATAATGAAGAAGGTTTTATCATTTTAATTATTGTATATATGAGGTTATGTACATTTTACAAATTTGTTCTTAATCAAAAATTAAAATAGAATAGGCATATCAGTATGTGTGATATAGAAAATATTATAATTTGGTAAATTACACACAGTCCTCCAGAAAACTAAATTAAATAATGAAATATTTGTAGAAAAATTTCATTTTTGAATGGCTCGATTTATAAAAATAGCTAACCCAATATTTTAGCCAAAAATATTATGCAAGCCTGGATATTTTTCTTATAGATGGTGATTATCTATTTATGAAATCTCAAAGCTGCTTAATTTTTTTGTGGTTTTAATATTGGATTGGCTTTTTAAAATTGAGCCATTTTACAACATTAATTATATTGCATTTTAAGATTTGAATAATATAAAATTCATAATATAAATAATGAATTATCATACCATTTTTGCTAATCATATTTAAACTTATAAAAATGGATTATCACAAGATGTAGAAGAACCCTATTATTTCTTTCTTCTGATTTCATAATACTATGATTTGTGAATATATACTTTAAACTGATTTTAGATAATTTTTTAACAAAAATCATTATCACAATCAAAAAATATATTTCAAATGTCAGAAGAAAATAAAATATTTGGTTAGTGTGACTTAATATAAGGTTGAGTTACAATAGTTACATGTATTTCTTAAATTAATAAAATATTTCAAATTTATAACTAATTTATATTTATTTTTCATCAAAAATTTATTATTTGTATTTGATTTAAATTTTTTCAATTGAATAATTATTTTATTTATATTCATAATAAATAATTTTTGATAGGGCTTTGCACAAATCTTAATAAGAATTCAAGGGGATGGATAATTTTATATATAATATTAGTATTGTTAAACGGCTCATTTTAAGGCCATTTTTTAGTGTTGTTAAATGTCTGGATTTGAGCCGATTTTTAAAAATGGCTTACTCAATATTTTAGCAGAAAAATATTATCTAAGCCTCGAAATTTCGATAATATATTTCTAGACCTTTGTTCCTTCTATGAACAAAATCTTCAGGCTTGCGTAATATTTTTCTGGATGAAATATTAAGTTAACCTTTTATCAAAAATGGGCTCAAAACAAGCCGTTTAACAACACTAATAATTATTTTAAAGTAAGTTATTTAAGCCAATAATACTATAAAATTGATTCTTTAATTTTCATTTTAGTATTATTCAAAATATGAATAGTAGCAAAAAGTTAAAAATTACAATAAAAAATTATAAATATAATAAAATACAATTTCCTGATTCTGATTTGTCTGATGCATTTTAAATTTTTGAATGTTGAGTGAATTTGTGAATACATAGTTTGATCAAGCCTTGGATGTTTGTTTATTTATTTATCAAATATTCTCTTATAACTATCTATAATGTATTTATTTGAACTCTAGATGACGAAGAAAAATATATTCCATCAACAAATTTACAAATACCTCATAATATGGATATGGTTATAAACTATTTTGATTATTAAATTTAATAAATCAATTAATCATATATAAGTTAATAAACAAGTTTTTATAAGAAATAACAAAAATAACTGCAATATATAATAAATTTAATTTATTTTTATTTCAAGAAAAAAATTGCCCTTGAATTTAAGGTGAAGATTAGCAAAATAACATAATAGAATGTATAATTTGATTGTTTTCAAAAATCAATGCTAGGTTATGGAATTGGGCCAATACTCATGTCATAATATCAGGAAAAATATTGGGTCTACATTATGATATAAACTCATAAATATTTTAGACTGATAAAAAAGATAGAAAAAATGCACTGTTAATTTTTTATTTTCTATTTCTCTTTTAATTTAATTTGATCTTATAAATTAATTAAGCATCAGATTGATTGAACGTCCCGTACTAAAAATGCATTGAAAGCAGTGGAAGCAGATTAGCTTACAAGTTTTTGGCACCTTGACGTGCTTCTAGAGACAGTTAATTTTGGTGAATGGCCAATGTTAGGCTGAATTCCTGATTTGTCAACTCAAGATATTTTTGGATGGAATAGCTTCCAAGTATTCATAGCCAGATACTTTGTTTACTAGTTCAGATAGAAGAGAATAGAGATAATCAACTAACCGTATAGTCATCGGTTTATTATAATCCTTTCGTTTATGCGAGGCTGGAGGTCAGCTATCTATAAATTTTCCTTGGGGTTTGCCGAAGATATAAGAGTTTTTTCCCCTAAAGGTTTTAGGAAAAGCGATGCTCCATTGCCTAAGTTACATAGAGGGGAAGTGAGAAAAGGTAAAAATATGGCATTTTCTAGGAAAGAATGTTTGAGGCATTTTGGCGGCCGTGACTGATTATATTTAGCAAATGAGATACAGGTATAGTCATAAGCTAAAGATAGTTCTTCATCCCAGTGCATGGTATTCCATCTCGACGTTTTTTGTCTAAAGGTTCTAGCGTTGATTGAATCTTTATTAGAGCAATAATTTCAAGATGATGTCTGCCTTTTGAATATATGTTATATCATCAATGGTGTCCTTAACTATCGATCTGGATCTTGCATAATCTTCAGATGTGTGGAGTGACTATTTTTATATTGAGATGGTGGATAATTGAGATTTGTAGTTATTTAGGGGATATAAAAGGGCCAGACTTTTACTTAATTATCATCTTATCTTATAACATAAGCAAAAAGACAATTTAATGTATATTCTAATTAGTAAGAAATCACGATATATCACAAATTATAAATTAAATATATAATTGCATGAAATAGGTGCAAACGCTTGTAAAAATATGAAAAAATCCGAAATTCCATCATTTATAACACATCAACGAACTCGTTTAATATCTGAAAAGTACAGTGTTTTCCCCATTACTACGCGAAGATATAGAGCCTTATGTTTGTGCATATTAGTAATCTGCATCGTACCTCAATGTTTCAATCCTGCCGACCCTATCACAGACGGAATTTTTTACTTATTTATACCAAAAAGCTGACCCGAAATAAAAAAATTCTTTGTCCGCACTGCCCTAATATATTTTAAATATAGAAAAATTTAATTTTTTTTAATCGAGAAAATATTGTATAAATATAAAATATTGTAGCCTTGTCTTGCAAGAAACAAAATTGGATGATATATATTTAAAAATTTAAGCCTAAACCGAATTTTTTAAGTATAGCCCGAAAATTATTTTTTTAAAATAGACCCAGGATTTGCAGATCTCTAGTGCATATCCTAAAGACCCTCTTTAAAGATTTCTAAAACGTTGGCTGATAACATTGCCATAGGGATTTAAATGGCCAGAATTTTGACACCATCTATCGTATAATAGTATTTGCTCCACAATTTTACATTTTAGTGAGTAGCTGCAAAATTTTTTCTTTGCCCAATAATTTATAACAAAAAAATATTTTTTACTAAGATTTCTATGAAACAAGCTCAGAGGTGCATTTATTTCTCCAAATATTTTGGCCAAGGCTTTCAACGAATTACATCATCCTCTAGGACATATGCAAGGGCCGATAGACAACTATACAATTTGAAGCCATCATTATACTTATCATATTATTCTATAGGCTCTATTTTAGATGGAAATAGCATTATCAGTTCCTGTTCAAAATCCATCAGTATCTTCCTGAAAAAGGCTGCTGGTCATATTAAATCAACACATCTTATCAATCATGGCTCTCGAAACTTCTAATTTTATCTTTTGCCACTTACACTCTAGGAAGCATCACTTTTCCTAAAAGCTTTGGGGTGGGGGTGGGGGGTAATTCTTATATTTTCAGCAATCCAAAAGAAAATCTTTATCTCTGGCAGAGAATATCTCTTGATATATGTAGATCCAATTGCATATCCATTCACGGATCTATGTCCCTATAATATTTTTATATATTTAGATCTTATAGCTTTTCAATATTTTTTTAGCTTTTCATATATTTTAATTTTCGCTTACATAGCAGTTTATATATTGCTATTTTATTTTACTTTATATATATATTTTTTTAATTTAAATAAAAAATTTAGAATAAAATGCAAATTTTTTGAATAGGATAAATAAATGAATAAAATCACTCGATAAAGTGGTGATAAAATGTTGCAGTATCTAATGACTGAGTGATAAAGTGACTTCGGGATAAAGTGTCTCTAGGCAGTTTTATATTTAATAAAAATACGCGGTGCATTCTTTAACTTATTGGGAGGCGGGGGTTATGAATTGGCTCTATATGTAATTCTGGCATGAAAATAATGATCACCAAAAATTTAGTTAGATAACAATGAATTCACCTTAACTGGGCTACCACCATATCAAAGTGTTCTAGCACATAATTTTAAAAGGTAATAAAAAATTGAGCTTCGCGAAATATTGTTTCCATAACATTTAAATGTTTTTCGGGTTTAATGTTATCATCTCTTATTAATATTAAAACTATCCTGTATACTTTATAAATATATATTTAATAGTTTTTATTTATTTTAATAATGACTACTAAATTCTCAATTTTCTTAAACACTTGAACATTTTGGTATATAGCCTTAGCCCTAGTAGGTATTTAAAAACATCTAAGGTTAATTATAATAAATATTTAATAATTTGAATGAGATATTTTCAGTTTTAAAAAGCGGGGTAACCCCACGATTCTGCTCGATTTCTTCACCTTATCATTCGGGGGAGGGGGGGGGCATAATAATTAATTTATACAAATTATCAATCAAAACTAAATTTAATTAAAAAATACTTTTTTTTACTACTTTTCATTACTGAATTTAGCCCTCTACAATAAAAGAAAATTATATAATTGAAATGACCGCTAGCTTTGTCAGCAAACAAGGTCCGCAGATGGAAATCGTTATGAAAGCAAAACAAGCTAGAAATCCTCAATTTTCGTTCATGAACTATGATCACAAATTATTTCCTTATTATAAACATGTCATTAAAATGATCAAGGATAATAAATACACCCCTCAGAAAATTATACCACCCCCCAAAAAGGGTAAATAAATTGATTTAAATATATATCTTCTTTAAATAGAATCAGAAAAGCTCCTTATTTAAAAAATATAAATTAGAGGAAATATATATATATATATATATATATATATACTTAAATTATCAAATGTAATAGGAATAAACCATGGCCTGGGCTAATGTCCTGCGACATACCGTCAGCTGAATGTTATAGTGGTTATAAATATCACAATAATTGGCGATGGAAAATCGCTCTAACTAAGTATTTTATCCAGGAATATATTATTTAAGTATAAAGATATTGTTTATAAATTGGTGCAAAGGTTTGGACATCTACTAACTAAATCTCGAGGTATAAGCAATATACATCTATCTAAAATATTGAGTTAGCCGTTTTTAAAAATCGGCTCAAATGTATTCATTTTGCTTCATTAACAACAATAATGGAAATAAAGGACTACTCTTTTAACATTTTTATTGGTGATTTGGAATAATAAATCTGGATTGATTTATTGGGAAAATATGCATTTTGCATAGAGTGGATATAGAACATTATAATACTCAGACGGCGATATAAACGCTCCGTATTATTTTGATTGTTTTATTTCTTCTTCTAAAACAATGGCAGACATGCATCCTTTTCGAACATATTTGGTGGCCACGATTGATTAAGTCGAATTGAGGATATTTATTGTTACTGATAATCTAATAAGAGAGATCAACAGGGAATATCATCGGGTTATGAATATAATTAGGGATCGGTTTAAAGGTTCGGTTCAAATTTGGTTTGGATCCCTGAAAATACGAATTTTTTTGTTGTTGTCTGGACCGATATAGAATAAAAGCATTAATTAAATATTAAATTGATTATTTTCTTGACCAATAATGTGCCAGAATAAATATTATTCATTATCGTAATCACACGATGAGGTATCGAAGACCATTAATCATGAGAATCCTTGTACCATAACCTAGTTAATAATAAAAGTTAAGTTTAGGGAAAAGTGTATCCCTCAATTTCCAAAAAATAAACATATTATAACTTTAATTGTAAAATCCTTGGTTCCATTTATACTAGCTTGCTAATCTTTTTTGTCACCCAACAAATATTTTAATGATCCTCTTAGCTTAAGTTCTGCTACTAAACCAGTTTTAGTTCGACACTTTCCACTTGCAATCTTTATTCGAGAGCTATATCAAACTTCTTTTTTAAAAATCTCAAATCAACTAAACATCGGCTGGATGCTCTCCTCTTAGTTACCATTTCATTTTTAAAAAAAACTTATTGATTTTTTTCATTCGCTATTTTCAGGTTTGGCCCTGCATTAGTATGCAAAAATGAATGTAAAATTGTCTTATTTATATCCTATTTTGTATACTTCAGCGAATTCATGCTAAATGTGAATGCAGTGTTTCAAAAAATTAGCACTCATTTCTAATTTTTTTACATAAAAATATTTTCAGCCTCTTTTTATCTCATTTTATCTTGCTCTACAAAGAACATTTTTATAGTAGGATCACCTGGAGGTGTTGAAAGTTTAGATAACGATGCATTTTAAAGACTGATATTTTTATTCGACTTATTTAAATTTAAAAATAAAACGCCAATACAATACGTATTATATTCACAATTTAGAACCTGACAAAAAAAAATAAGTGTTTTCCATTCTTTATATTATAGTTCCCAAAATTTTATAAAGTGAGCTCCATCTTTAAATCTGGATGCGGTTCTTTACGGTTCCAAACTGTTTTAAGTAATCAAAAAAAAATTAAATAATAAATTAAATTTTTCTAAAATGAATCACGCAATGTTTAAAACATTCGTTAACAGAAAATTTTTTAAAAATAGGTTTTGATTCCTGTTGGTTTGCATTTCCGGTTCTTAAAGTTCTGATTCAGGCTTTTAACTCTTGTATTACGTAATATTATTTTGATTAGTCCTTCATCCGAGTAAAAAAGTTGATACATCCGATTCTGACAGCGACTCCGACACGGGATATCTTCACCCTAGTTTGTTTAAATCAAACCTCTCCCAGACAAATAGTCAATCCGCTACTTTAACTACTTCTTCCACCAAAAGCGTTATGCCATCCCAAATAGTCTCCGCTAATGATCAACTAGAAATCGAAAAATTTCAAAAGTCGCTTTTGGATAAAATTATACTCTCGTCTAGAACCGGAGATGACCCTTACTCTAAACTCGTGTCACAAATCAAGCAACAAGACCAACTCTTTAAGTAAAGTGCACATAACTAGAATTTATTTTTTTATTGGATGTAACGTGACCAATGAAAAAAATTACAAATACCATCATGAATAAATTAGTTCCAATTACCGTTTTTTTATATTTTAAATTAGGTCTAAAGACGAAGAGGCTTCGAGAGAAGAGGAAGATCTGTCAAATGATGAAGGTATGTTTTCTCTAATTATTTTTTTAAGAAAAAAAATAATACGAATATAGATTATTTTAGCCGAAATTTTATTTTTTTTAAAATTTATTTTGAGTTATAAAAATAGCTTTCACAAAATCAAACCTCCGAATATGATCACCTTCTTATTGACTTTTTTAGATCAGTTTTTTTATTTCCTACCAAATTTGATTATCTAAATCTTTATTTTTTTTTAGATTTCGTAATATATTTGAATGCTAAAACCGAAACGTCAGAGCCCAAAAAAAAGTAATTTAATTTATTTTAGAAATATTTAAAATGATATATTCTTTTTTTTAAAAAAAAATCCACATTTATCATCAGAATCAAAAAGAAAGATCGCGATGCTATTAGACTGAATTTTTACGAGGCATATTCTCAATTCCTGGAGATTAGACCATGCTTCATTCAAGTTCACACTAAAATGGTCATCAATAAACTCGTCGAATACGTCGTGAGAAACGGAGCGGTGTTCGAAAGAGAAATCGCCTCCAAAACTCAGGATTTTCGGTTTTATTAATCTCAATTCATTTATAAATATAAATTAATATGAAATTAGGTTTAAAAAGTAATATTTAATGCATAATACAAACTATATATACATTTTATTTAATCACCCATTAATATTTGTTTTTGGTAATATTAACACCATACATTTGATCAAATATACATTAAATAAATTTTTTTGCAAGCCTATTATAAAATATATCCCCCATTTTTTTTTTGAAATATCAATATAGATTCGCTTTCCTTACTAACCCTTCCCACGTTCATTTCCCTTATTACGTTTTTGAGATAAAGCGTCTCTTTGAATCCATTAAATCCTCGTATGTTGAACAGAAACAACTGCAATCACAATTCCAACCAATTCCGACTACTGATACAATAATCGATAATCCTTCTCATCCATCCGAGGGTTATAATGCCGACAATCTTGAAACCACTCAAATTGCAGAACAAAATGTGATTGATGAAAACCAGGGTCTCCCTCAACCCAATACTGAAGATTCCCATGATCATTCAGAATCTAAGATCGATGATGTTAACAATAAAGTAAATTTGGGTGAAATAGATGGACAGGATGTTAATAGTGATCTGAAAGAGATTTCTCACGATACAGACGTTAACGATGATGAGCAAATGATTAAGAATTCAGTCCAAATCCCAGAAAACCTTATTGACACTGTTATTATTAGTGAGATAAAAATCAATGATGAGGCCGAAAACCCTAGAGCTGATGTAGCAGATAATATTACTGATATTCCCGGAATCAAGTTTGAAGAAAGTGACTTGAGGGACAAGGAAAGACTATGTTGGCATCTGCATTTTAAACCAGTTTTAATAGAAGTTCAAAGAAAAAGTATGATTTGTAAAATTATATTTAAGATAGCTATTAATTTTTAAGATCGTTTTCTTTATTTCATAAGGTTAATAATTAACAACCTTTAAACTTTAGAAAACTATTTTAAAAACAATTTTTATAAGTGGAGAAAAAAATTTATATTTGAATTTATTTGCCATTTTATTAAAAGACCTATTTATCAAGGTTATTAAAAGTTTTTTTAATTATCTTTATGAGCTATAACATTGGCTGATAAAGTAATATTGAATGAACTTAAAAAACCAATTATATAAAAACTACTAGCTGATCAAATTAATTTTTTCTAATTTCTAGAAGAAGAGGAAGAAAGGGAAGAATTGAAAAAGGTTGATATTCTCAATTCGTCAGGTAATTTATTATTTACACTTTTACTTGTTATAATTTATGTAATGAAATTGGATGATTTATTTGCCAAAAATTTTGAGTCAAAGATATTTGAAGATCATAAAATCCAAGACCCCTTTTTAAGAAGATCAAAAAAAATATTTCAACCATGAAGGTTTAAAAATACTAATGTTTCTCACTTTGTTGTTTAATTTTACATTCTATTCAAACTTATTAATGATTATAAATTCTAAATAGTAATTTATGTAAGTATTGATTTGTGAATTATAAAATCCATGATTGACATTGATTTATTTTATACTCAGACCCCAATAACCCACTTTTAATTATTTTTTTCTCGAGGAACTAGAAAGTTAAAAAAACGGAAACATTTAAATGATAAAATTTCATGGGCCTGAAATTGAAAGGCGCCAAAAAGTAGAAAATATTATAACCCGGAACTTTATATTATATACTAATTTAAAATTATCATTATTTTTATAGATCCTATATGCTTTAGTATTCGATCCAGAAAAGGCGAACAATCTCTACCTTTCAAACAGCTGACCATGCTTTTATATGAATCCCCTTCATCGGAAGAGGATGAATCTACACGTTTTTTTTTTTAAATATATATTTTCTAAAGAAATATATAGCAGAAAACAATTTTTTGACATATAATATAGTGAAATGATCACCTAATTGAGGTTGGGTTTTAGTTTTGTTAATATGCATTTTTAAATGAGATTTTGGCAGGGAATGATTGATTGACTTAAAGAGGATCAAATGTGCATTAAAGTATGCTCTTAGATCTTTGTTTCTTTTATCCTTCTACCATGCTCCATCAACATTTGCCCCCGACTCTCTCCACATAACCACATATCTGTGTAGGATTTATATTGATAGATGTCCTGTCCCATTTGTCGTCTTATTATTCCTTGTAATTATTACCCCCTCTCCATACAGTAGTAATTTCTTATTGCAACCCATTTTTATATGTCCTGTAGTTTGTAAATCTGACACTCGTTTATCTTTCCTTTAATAACTCATCATTTCCACACTGCCGTCTTTATTTCTTTTCATATCTGCATTTATCCTTTGAAGTTTTGATCCTTTTTTTCTAAACCGATAGTGGCACTGAAATCCCCAACATTAATATCTATCTATATCTAACCCAATAAATATTGTTATCTTCCAAATTCTATTGCGTCTTAGAGGTATGCAATGGGTGACGTTTAGCCTGCCCCCCCCTCCCCATTTTAAACATTGGGCGAGAGAACAGGCAGGTTAAAAAATATTTTTAAAACAATGGGCAAGTGAATTTGAAATATTTTTAAGCCAAAATAAGCATTACAGATTATATCATTTTTTATAAGTAATAAAAATACATTAAAATTAATAAAATGACCTAGCCAATGAAATAATTTTAAAACATTTGGCGAGTTGGTCAAACAAAATTTTTAAATAAATGGGCAAGTGGGTGATTTAAGAAAATTATGTGGGGGGGGGGCGTGTTAAATGTTTTAGAACAATGGGCGGGAGGACGTTAAGGTTAAAATCCGCTTATTGCAGACCTCTAGTTGATTCTTTTAAGATTCACTTAATCTTATCCTCTAATCATGTCTCCTCTAGTGTTATTACTACCAGAGTTTCCCTAAATGTGTTTTAAATACTACTATTTTTTAAAAATTATGATTTGTATTTGCCTTTTATCATAATAATTTGTAACCAACATGAAAAAGAACCAGAAAAGCAATAATTTTTATTAATTATTATCTCAATATTAATATTTCTAAATATATTTAATTTTTTTAACTAATCTTTGGAAACAAAAGTAATGATTCTTATATCCTACCAATAGTTCACCACAGCAGGCTGTCAATCTATCTACTAGTAGCTCATCAAAGTTGTTAATAATTTTTCAATAAGTAATATTGAGATAATGATTAAGAAAAATGAATAGCTTAAACGCTATTTGGAATGGTTTAACTTTGACAAGCTATTAGTATTATTTTGACATGCTTATAGTGAATTGCAAACATAAACTTACATTATAACATAGAGTGCTCTACGCCCAATTTTATAATGTTATAAAATCATCTTTCATTTGGCAACCATTTGCAATGGAACAACCTTTATTTTAATAAGTTTATGTTTATAATTATTTTATTATATTAAATATTTCATGTATTAATGAATTTTTTTATATTTAAATCGCATATAAATATAAATTGTAAGATCTAACATTTTTCTAATAGATATAATATATATTATTTTTAAAAATATATATTTTAATTAATGTATAAAATTCAATATTTAAACAATTTTTATAATAAGAAAATAAAGTAACAGAAAAATTACTGCAAGATGGAGCATTTTTAAAAAATTTGATTTGTATATTTTTTTATATAACAAAAATAGTGGTTTAATTTACAACATATGAATATATATTTTATAATATAGAATGACATAAATCTAAAAATTCACGGAAAAATTTTTTTTTGTTCGGCAAAAATAAGGATATATCTTTTCCATATGCACATTCTGAAATTTTCTTAAACAATTTGTATATAAAATTAAGTTAAATCTGAATTTTAATATATAATATCCAGAGTAAAAATATAATTCTTAATAATTTTAATTAATATAATTTGTTACTATTTTTTAATTTTCAGGCATATGTTAATATCTGACTTTTTTTTCTATATTTTTATTCCGGCTCACTTATTATAATATAGAATATGATGTGGCTTTGAATAAAAATGATTATCATTTTTTTTAAAATCATCTAGGTTTCTATTTAATAATAAAAAAAATAAGTGGGTTCATGCAGTTAATTTTAAACATCATATTCTAGATCAGGAATTAGGATACGTTAGTAATTTGTAAATATTAAACTCATATTTCCTAGATATAAAAACATTTTATTTCATCATTTTGAGAGAAAAAAGCTTAAAATTATAATAGTTTTAGGCCAATAATTTTATTTTCATTATATAATACATAATTTCCTGTTTTTAGTCACGGCTTATTTATATACCCCATAGGATTTGAAAAGTACTTGATATTTAACATAAATTGTGATTGAATTGTTAGGTATAAATAAAATTGTATACTATTAATATTTGTTTGTCTTTCCCGCAGAGTTTGCTATTATTTTTTTGGGATTACGATTAATTAACATTGCTAACTAGCCATTATATTTGATCAAAAATAATATGTAAAATGTTGTTATTTAGCAAAAACAGAAGAAATTAAGGAGGATGCCCACGATTTGGATGGGGAAACGTTGAAATTAAATGGAGTACCAACAATTGAAGACTACATAGATATCAAGGATATCAAGAAATCTAACAATGCAACCATTTCTATTAGTAAGAAAAATAATATTCTTCAAAATTTTTATTAACCATAATTATCTCGATCTTTTATATTCGGTATTCATAGTCGTAACTCGATTAAATGAACATGCTTTTTGAAACTGCATCCTTGCTTTATTCGCCTTGAACTTAATTTAAATTTTTAACCATCGGGAGCTATAATTGAATTGACGATAGATCTCTTTAAATATTATGATTTTTTTGTAATTTGACTAACATGCCCCCTTTTTTTAAAGTTTATATCATTTTTCAGTTGACTATATTTTAGAATTGTGATTTTTGTTAAATATTATTGCATGAATAACTTCTTATCAACTTGATTATAACAATTTGTGATAAAAAAACACAAATTTATCATTCAATTAGAAAACCCAGACTCCTCTATCGACATCGAGTTGATAATCGAAAATGATCCAGAACATATCCTTAACTCACTATCCCACTCTCATTACAAAACCTCTTCCCAACACCATTCTAGCAAGTCCCGGAGGGCTCCTATAATGGCTCGACCCCATATAGACAGTTCCAAAATGCACGCCTCTATTGACGTATCTACTAGTGTCAGGGCTGAGCGCAAGAAAAAAGCGGCTCTTTTCGTCAAAATGCTCAAAAACAAGCAGATGACCATCCCCGCCGTTAAGAAACCACCTAACACAGATGATAATTCAAATATTTCGCTCGATCCTCTTATCAAGGAAACCACGGAAGAAGCGCGAGATTTGATTGAAATCAGAGCCCGACAATCCATGGACATTTTTGAAGAAGTTCGGGATGAATCTCCCAAGGCAGATGAGAGCTCCTCGTCCAATATTTATAATAATAATAGCAATAGTACTATAATGGGTAACTGTGTTAATTTGGTATGCGAACAAATCGAGATTAAAAAAATTGAAGAAGGCATCGTAACACAAAATTCATTAAAAAAAATTGAGATGGAAGAGGGGGAAATTATAGTTTTAAGCGGTGACGATGAGCCGACGACTGTTAATCGTAGCATACATAAAAGGGTCAAAAAATCGAAATCGTCTAGCAAACGTAGGAAAAGAACGAATGACTCTGGCCACGGTTCAATTAAGAAAAGGAAGTTAAGGAAATAATAATGTGATTTAATTTTATAATTGACACTTGATAAAAAATGATAATTACGATGCATAACTATTTATTTAATGTATTTTGTACTATATTTATTTGTAAATTAGCTTCTCTGTACAGATTTAAATAATAATAAAATGAATTATTATTTTTTATTTTATTTGGGGGAAAATTTAGAATATAATTTTAGAATAAACGATTCGACAATTACTTTATCAGCCAGGTTCTGAGAAATATTGGCATGTGCAATATTATTAATCAATTTAGCTTGAATTGAATTGGTCTTTTTGGATGTAGTCTCCCCTATACCAAAATTATTAAGATGCTTTTCTATCTCGTTAAAACTGTTGGCATGAACATTCTTGCAAAATAAAAATACTATTACAATTTTAAAAATGACAATTACCTTTAGGTGTTTTTGAAGTTATCGCTACTAGATTTATTTGAGGGTATATTTTTTTACAGATCGAACAAATAAATTTGTAGCCACTTTTTGTTTTTATATTAATTGGAAAATATTTTCAATTTTTAAAATGGAAAATTTGTATTATCACTATCAAGAACATTTTCTTCATATTTGCTTCTCTTTATATTTTTTAAAGATAAATTACATTAGTTTTTCAAAGCTGGCCTGAGCGCTGTTAAATAAAAGGATTTTTTTTAAAGTTAAGGGTATGAGAATCATTTCAATAAAAAGAAAGAAAGAAAAAAAAGAATCTGATTAGTTATAAATTTAAGGATATTAATTGAAATAGAGAATAATAAAATAACCTATAGAGTTTTGCGATATATTTCCTAAATTCCATTTTATAAATAAGTCGGAACAAGTGTAAAAAAAATTATTCTATTTTCCCCACATTTTTTTTATTTAAGACTGAGTCCTAGATCTGGTTTAAAAATTCGCAAAATAAAAAAAACCAGGGTTGTGCATTTGACCGGTCAAATATCAGCTATCTGTAGCAGAGTTTTGTTCTGATTCATATTCAATATTATCATTTTCTTTAATATTTTTTAATCAATTTTCCTGATGTCTTAGATCTTCAATCGATTTCTATTTTCATAAGAATATTAACCCAAATCGACCTATTTCTTTCTAAAGAAGAAGTAGAACTAGGAATTGTTCTTAATGGTCAGGGTGGACAAAGTTTAATCTATTAACTAGAGGTCGGAATTGATTGTTTCTGGAAATTACTACTTAATTTGCTATATTAAACATGCTGTTTTTGCTTCTGATTAATTATATCACTTAAAATATTTTGGTCATCACTACCTTGTAAAATAGCTAATTCTTGAATTATATCACATACTTCATTAATTTCACTACTAGTGAGTTCTCCTCTTGATATTGTGGACACAATAAATAAGCAAACATTGCGATCACATGTATTTACATCGTTTTTCCCTTTTTTAAACATTTTTTTAATTTATTTTACCTTTAAATTTTTTAGAGTTTACCGTATTTGACAGGTCAAATACTCCTCCGGTCAATTTACCAACTTGCCAACCCTGAAAAAAACTATAGAAGTCTATAAATTTTAATCAAATCTTATGTTAAAACTTTTGAAATTTATTATCGAGAATTATATTTAGGCACATGTTTTTATTTTTACATTAAAAAAAGCTTATTTCTTTTTTTTACATTAAAGTTAAGAAAGTTTCCGTATTGAATTTTTGATATATTCATGCCGCATATTAAACAAAAAAAAAGATTTGAATTCTTTTTCTCAATATAACTTAAATTGAACTAAAATATTTTATAATTGCATTTTATATAATATTAGTTTTTTGTTTAATATTTAATTATATCTCCTAATAACAAAATTATAATCAATTAGATCTGCAAAGTTAGGCCCGGACCGTACCCGACCCGAGTCCGGACCGGCTCGAACGGTCTTCGGGCCGGGCTCGGGCTCAATTCTATTAAAAATAATCGGGTTCGGGCCGGGCCCTAATATTTTTTAAAAAATTTTAGGCCAGGTGGGACCTTGGAAATTTTATTAAATTTATCTATTTTATATAGAATTTTTGATTTAATTTATTGACATATGTCTTTTATTTTAAGTAATTATAAAAATTATTTAAATAAATTCGGGCCTGGCCGGGCCGATAAATTTTTTTAAAATAAATTTCGGGCCGGGCCGGAAAACTTTTTAAAAAAATTTCCAGCCGGGCCGGCAAACATTTTTAAAAAAAATTTAGGCCGGGCTTAAAAAAATAGGCCCGATGCAGATCACTACTCAATTTCTTTTAAATATTTAAAAAATATTTTTAATCCATTATATTATCGAGGTAAAAAATTATATAATCATCTAACGCATCTTTCTAAAAATATTCTTTACAACTATTAAAATGAAACACTGAAAATAACCTAATGTGTGATAATTTATTTACTTTTTCATTTAACTCTGCAATGAACATTAACTTGTTTTTATACCCAGTTTAAAAGTTTCAGATCTCTTCAAATAACATCATTGAAAGTTCTATCAAACACCCAAACATCTTTTAATTTTTCTAAACATCTTTATTATTTTTTTTTCGTCTAATGGTATCTTTCATAAAGTATTATATTTCCATTCTTTTGAATAAATATTAAATCCTTGAATTAATGTTGATTAAAACATTTTAATATTATATATATTAAAATAATTATCTTTGTTAGTTTCGATCCATCATCCTCTGAAATTTATATTTTTACTCTGATGACATTACCAGGATTAGGTTATCTTATGATACCACTTTACATATAATGTTGCAGAAATCATTAGTTTCTAGCAAAAGTGACGTTAATCTAAATTACTCATGATAGAACAAATAAATTCCAAGACTCGTACAAGCCGATATTTATTGTTATTTCTACTATTACATAGGAAAATTTCAGTTAGCTATTAAAAGTTTTAGGTAGATGTTATTACGGATTTTTACCTAACGAATATAGTAACACAAGACATTTTAAAATATTTAAACTTATATTTAATATCTTAAGGCTGGTTTAGTCAAATAACTCTTCTCTAACTTTACCTGATCACCAGAGCTCCCGTTAGTCAGCTATTGCTGTTCGCTCCCCACCACGTGAAGGTGGGAGATGGATTTTAGGGGAGCATAGAAAGAAAAAAAGAGGAAACATAGATGTGAAAGATTTAAAAAAACCTAAAATCCTCTCAAAAACTAACCTATAAAAAAATTATCTCAAAAAATAACCATTAAAAAAATCCTTACAAAAACTAAACTTTAAAAAAAATGCTTTCAAAAAGTAACCTATAAAAAATCCTCTAAAAAACTAAACTTTAAAAAAAACTCTAAAAAGTAACCTATAAAAAAATTATCTTAAAAACTAACCTATAAAAAAATCCTCTCAAAAACTAAATTTTAAAAAAACTCTCAAAAAGTAACCTTAAAAAAATTATCTTAAAAACTACTCTGTAAAAAAATCATCTCAAAAACTAAACTTTAAAAAAAATCCTCCCAAAAACTAAACTTTAATAAAAAATCCTATCAAAAAGTATCCTATAATAAAATTATCTCAAAAACTACTCAATAAAAAATCATCTTAAAAACTAAACTTTTAAAAAATCCTCTCAAAAAGTAACCTATAAAAAAATTCTCTCAAAAACTAAACTTTAAAAAAACTCTCAAAAGTAACCTATAAAAAAATTATCCTAAAATCTAACCTATAAAAAAATCCTCTCAAAAACTAAACTTTAAAAATCCTCTCAAAAAGTAACCTATAAAAAAATTATCTCAAAAACTACCCAATAAAAAATCATCTCCAAAACTAAACTTTTAAAAAATCCTCTCAAAAAGTAACCTATAAAAAAATCCTCTCAAAAACTAAACTTTAAAAAAATTATCTCAAAAACTACTCAATAAAAAATCATCTCAAAAACTAAACTTTAAAAAAACTCTCAAAAACTAACCTATAAAAATATTATCTCAAAAAGTAACCTATAAAAAATCCTCTCAAAAACTAAACTTTAAAAAAATTCTAAAAAGTAACCTATAAAAAAATTATCTTAAAACCTAAACTATAAAAAAATCCTCTCAAAAACTAAACTTTAAAAAAACTCTCAAAAACTAACCTATAAAAAAATTATCTTAAAAACTACCCTATAAAAAAATTATCTTAAAAACTAACCTATAAAAAAATCCTCTCAAAAACTAAACTTTAAAAAAACTCTCAAAAAGTAACCTATAAAAAAATTATCTCAAAAACTACCCTGTAAAATAATTATCTCAAAAACTAAACTTTTAAAAAAATCCTCCCAAAAACTAAACTTTAATAAAAAATCATCTCAAAAAGTAACCTATAAAAAAATTATCTCAAAAACTACTCAATAAAAAATCATCTCAAAAACTAAACTTTTAGAAAATTCTCTCATAAATATAACCTATAAAAATATCCACTCAAAAACTAAACTTTAAAAAAATCCTCTCAAAAACTAAACTTTATAAAAAATCCTCTCAAAAGGTAATAAAAAATCATATTTAAATAAAATCCTCACCAAAGGTTACCTATAAAAAAATTATCTCAAAAAGTAACAATTAAAAAAATTCTTACAAAAACTAAACTTTAAAAAAAATCCTCTCAAAAACTAAACTTTAAAAAAATTCTCAAAAGTAACATATAAAAAAATCATCTCAAAAACTAAACTTTTAAAAAAATTCTCCCAAAAACTAAACTTTATAAAAAATCCTCTCAAAAAGTAACCTATAAAAAAATTATCTCAAAAATTACCCTATAAAAAAATCATCTCAAAAACTAAACTTTAAAAAAATCCTCCCAAAAACAAAACTTTAAAAAAATCCTCCCAAAAAAAAAACTTAAAAAAAAATTTTCACTATAAAAAAATTCTCTAAAAGTATCCTATAAAAAATTATCTCTAAAACTACCCTGTAAAAAAATCATCTTAAAAACTAAACTTTTAAATAAATCTTCTCAAAAAGTAATAAAATTTTGAGAGAGGTTTTTTAAAGTTTAGTTTTTGAGAGGATTTTTTTAAAGTTTAGTTTTAGACAGTATTTTCTATAAATAAATTCTCTCAAAAAACTATAAAAAAAATCCTCTCAAAAATTAACCTATAAAAAAGCCTCTCAAAAACTAAACTTTAAAAAATCTCTCAAAAGTAACCTATAAAAA